TCGAATGTTACACAATATAAAAAAGATCGACATTTGATTTTATCACCTCGTGATATAACGAATGTCCATTATGCTATCTCAACAATAGTGCCCAAATTTATATCATTGAAATTGATGTCGATCATGTGACAGCAGCAGTTTTACATAATAAAAACTTTAATTTTTGAATAAGCTACTACGAATTTTTTTTTTATATTTAAATAAATTTATTTATAATATGCCTTTACAAGAAGTTTTATTAAAAAAACCAATATATATTCAACCTAAAACTTTGAAATCACAACTTTTTTTCAAAATCACAGAAAATCACAAAAAAACACATGGAAGAAAAATAGGAATCACAGTCGAGTTACCATAAGTTGTTCTTTGACTCATGAAAAGTAACTATATAAGTGCACATTTGAGGTGGGGTGTAGTATTTTTGTATTATGATAGTTTTCTTAAAAAAAAATCTGAGTTATTGAAAATTAGCGCTCCAACTGTTATAAGAGTAATGAAATGTTTTCAAAAGTGAAGATGAGAAAATCTGATGAATAATGAAGAGGAAGATAAAATAATGGGTGTGTATTGAAATAGAAGGTGATATAGAATAGGATGTTGAAGATGAATCGGAAATTGAAGAATCTCATGAGAAGTTTGCTATTAATATTGAGTTATGGATAATATGGGTTAGTACGTACGTACAAAAATCAGGTTTAGATCATATGATCTATATAGTACCGCAGCATGATTTTCGTACGTACTAACCCATATGATTTAATATGTCTCGTACCTCAATTTTAATAGCAAACAACCCAAACCACATGGAAATCTCATTTAAAATTAGTAATTAGAAGAGGGGTAAAAACAGTGCAGCAAAATGGGAAACTATTTATCAAACTAATAAGTACTTGGGCTGCATCAATTGTAAGGTTTATTTTCGAAATACACTTCGTGATGATGTTCGCGTAACGTTCGTGATGATATTCGCGTAACGTTAATGCGCGTAATATTTCATAATAATAATTTAATTAATCATATTTTTATTTTTATTTTTAGGAAGATGGGCTTTGCGAATCCTCCCAATCATTTCTCTAACAATCTTATCTAAATAGTAAACAGAATGTATTTCCTTGTCATCATTTTGATCATAAACTATATTTAAATATTTGAGAAAAATCCATTTCAAATGAATAAATTCTATTAGCTTCACTTAATTTGTAACTTATTATCAATCTTGTGTTTTGCGTTTAAATCATACACTAGCTTTTCTATTTTTTGTGTTTCTTATTTGATACTATGTTTATTTAGCTTACGTAACCTTGTTTATGTCGTCATCACATCATCGCTTACAAAACCAGCCTCTTTCACTAACTCTGAGAAGCTTTTAATAATATAGTGCATCAAAATAATAACGATACTGGGTATCGAATCATAAAAATAATATCTTTCAGATTTAGGTAATTATTATAATTCATTAAATTAATTATTTAATTAAGTTATATATGTATTTATTATTAACTATATTTAGGACGACAAATCGACAAATCGACTGGTATTTATGTTGTAATATTTCCGCTGTGATTCACTATTTGAAAATTTTATGTCAGTATAACTCGTTATTAAACATTTACTATGTTATGATACGATAAACATTTATGAGCTGAGTAACTATTACATATTATAAAATTGATAATATTATATAACAATAATAAATATTAATACGTAGTAAATAGGTATTATATTTCATCTTTGGCAAATTTTGTATCAATTATAATTAAACTATCGATCACCCAATGTGATGTGAATCTGTCATATTTTATTTTTAAAAAAAAATTCTTTTGATCATCATTGAGAGTTTCAATAATTATTACAAACCTACAATTTCACATAATCGTTTTTCCAATAATTTGCAAATATAATTTTAATACTAAAGTTTTGAATCTTTAAAGTTCATTTTCAACACACTTAAAAAATTTATTTAATTTAATTTATAAGTCTAGAATTAATTGTTTGTTTTATAACAAATTAATTAATTAAACCTTTTATATATATATTGTGTCGATTTGTCTCAGATGCCGACGGATACTAAAGATGATCATCATAAAAATGGTCCGGTAATTTAGGCAGTTGACATCTGAGAAATCGACACACCTGACACACAACCTATATATTTGAAATGACTATATTCATAGACAAATCTAACAATTTTTCCACAACTGCAAATGCAACTGAGTCAATTAATTCCAAGGGTCACGAGAAGCAATATTTTTTATCGTTAAAATAAAATAAGTATGAGAATTCTTTAAAATGTTTTCCAATAATATATCAGAAAAATAAATTGAATTAGTGATAAATATTAAAATAATGCAGAGTTATTTTTTAGTTCCGAAAATTTTACTCAGCATATCATAAATTTAAACTTTGATTACTTTTTTTTGCAAAGATTTATAATTATACTGTCGATAAATATTTTATGTGATAGGATATATCAAAATGAATATAATGAAAATTTCAATTTGATTTTTGTAATTTATTAATAATAGAAGGATCTTTCTTGAAAGCCAAATAAGATATGGATAAAGCAATAAAAATATGAACTAAAATTACAATGTAATACATTGATTTGAAATAATATCTTTGCAGTAGAAGGGTAGAATTTTTCTGGTTTTACTTACATTGTGCAAAACTTTTTTTGCCTTTCTCGCAAAACGACATAATAATGAACTTATTTACTTTGTTCTTCTTTTAAATATTAAGTGTAACGACTGCAGTCCCGTAAGTGCACCATTAAATAAATAAAGATGTAGTTTATCTTTATGAATACTATCTGCTGGTAAAGACACCTCATATTTCTTCACTATACAGAAAAAAATAAAAAAATAATCAATTTTTACAAAATAGTGTACATATTTATAAAAAAAATTTTATAGACAACTTACATAAAGTACACAACATCAATCTTTGTTCAATAAGTGAAAAGTTGTTACCTAAACATCTATTTAATAAAATCGTAACAATAAATTAGTTACAACACAACCAAAATCAAAAAAAATCTTTGACTTACATTCTTGAACCACCACCAAAAGGTAACCAAGTATGTTGATCACGTTTTTCATCATGTTCATTCTCAAATCTTTCTGGAATAAACTCTTCAGGATTTTTCCAATATTTTGATGAATGATGAATTCCATAAATATTTATTAATATGGGTGTTTTTGGCAATAATGTATGGTTTCGAAATTTAATAATCTCTGCATTTTCTCTTCGTGGTAATTGATAAACCTTTAATTAAAAATAAACATATTAATATATATAACATATTTATATTATATTAACTAATTAATACAAATAAATTTGGTAAGTTACAAATTTGAAAGTTTAAAAATACATACTGGAGGATAAAATCTTAAGTTTTCATTTAAAACCATGTTCATATATTTTAATTCTCTTTGTTGTTCGATGGTTGGGGTTAAATTATCGCCTAGAACGCATAATAATTCCTCATAAACTTTGCTTTGCACATCCTTATTCAATAAAGATAAATTCAAATTAATAATAAAAAAAGATATTCGAAGGCAAACTTTTTAAATACCTTGTGGGTTGCTAAGACATATAATATGGTTGTCAAAGCAGTTGCAGCTAATTAAATTATTTTAGAAATGAAGGTTTAAATTTTGAATGATAATTTAATAGATAAAATCATTAAAAAGTTCTTCTTACTAGTCTCATGTCCAGCTAACATAAGTATTGCAAGATTATGCTATAAATTCAAGAAGCCATAATTAAATAAATTTTTAAATAGATTAAGCTTTGAGAAAGACTTATAAAAAACTATAATACTTACTCGTATTTCTTCGTCTGACATGGGATATTTTGGATTGTTAGAAGCGTTTATCATGCATTCTAATAAATCAGCTGAATTATTGTCTATTTTTTTACTCCATTCATCCGTTTCCATTGATTTACGTTTCTTTTCAATAAGTCCATTATAAAAATCATTAATCTTTGCAATTTTTTTACGTGCTTCAGTTCGATAAAAATACGGGATGTATTCAATGAATGGGCAAATAAAATATATTGGTTTATTACATTCTTCTGTCACTTCTTGATATGTAGCAACATAAACATTTGTTGGATCTTCAAGATTCTAATTAATATAAATTATCCAATCATTATTTTTTTTCTTTTTTATTAAAATAAAATTTTTTTATCTTACATTAAAATCAAATCCGAAAGCAACTTTTCCAAGTACGTCTAAAGTCAATCTATAATAAATAGTTTATAAATCAAAAACTTATCGTCCTAATTAATAAAAAAAAAAAAAAAAAAAAAAAGAGATTATTTACATACCTATCCATAAGACCTTTTACCTCTATGGGTCCATTATCAATTTTTTCGATGACCTTCAGAAATTTCAAAGCGGTTTCATCAAATAAGTGCATGGGTAGATTTTTAAACGCAGAATTTGTATTATAACTAGAATTAAAAAAAAAATTTAATTCTATAATCTATTTATGATAAATGAAATTGACGATTTATACCGATGACGTTTCCAAACCTATATATCAATAAGGACTTCGAATGTCAGTTAAACAACATGTTTTGGTTAGAGATATTTTAAATGTACTTACATCTCCGTTGGAAAATACTACGTTTGTACCGTAGTAACTAGCCATTAAAGATCCGGGATTCGATTCTTCGAGCGATGATTTAGGATACAAATCTAATTCAAATTATAATGTTAAAACAAAAAAGGAATCAATAAATAAACATAAATAAAATAAATAAATTCTAACCTGTTTTTGCAATTACATCTTTTGTAAGTTCCAAATCGGTAGTAACGACATACCATTCTCCATTGAACCAAAACTATATTTATTTATTTATTTTTTTTTAGTAAACTTTTTTTTAAATTAATAATCATATGACGATAAGAATGGTAAGACTGGTGACTTTTCCAATTCCATCTTTCTCAAGAATTTTTCGTGTATCTTCCCAACGTTTATCAGGACCTTCAATAGAGAGCATAGATTTAAAAAGTTTCAAGCAACTTAATGTAGGTACATCTTTGAGTCCTTCGGGTACTCTAAAGGTTTGATAAATTTTGTAAGCTATAAAAGAAATAAAAACTAAAATGGTTGCAAAAAGCATTTTATTGAAAATTTTATTTTTTTTTTCATGAGAAAAAATTATATATCAGAAAAGGTTTATCATGTCATGTACAAGTTTAATGAGGTCAAATAAGGATATTTATCATCATAAAAAGAAAGACTTTGCCATACAAATAAATTTTCCAAAATGGTTCGAAATTGCTATATACAATTCCGAATATCCATAAACGGCGATTTCGCACTGCTTTAGATGCAGATTAAAAGCGAAAATTAAATTAGTTCTTTGAATTATAACGAGAAATTTTTCCAGAATCATTTTATAAATGTAAGATTTTTTTTGCTTTATTTACGTTGACAATGGTTATAAAATCGCATATTTTGATAAAATTTATTTTTCTTAAATAGGAATTTTTTCGGTTCATTGTTACAATCATTTCATTTTTATAAAAATATTAAAACAAAAGTTAGTAATTTCAATTTTCCATTCTATGAATATTTTAAAGAAAAGCTAGACCGGGGCGTAGGTCAGCGATCAACAATCATCGCTTCTTTAAAATAATATAAAAATAATAACGGAAACGAAAATATTAGATGTCAGCCAAATGCGATCGAACAGAAATGTAAAAAGTTAAATAGAAAAATTTGAAATTATAATCATTAATTCGGCCCATTGTTCAACATTATTAAGGGTGGAGTTTATCCTCTTAAATGAGAAGTATTATCTTTTGTCGTCGTGTAACTCTAATTGAGTTATATTAATTAAGAAATTGATTGATAGACCATCATGTGCTCAATTTATTTTTGATTACTTTTTTTTTACATTGACGCGAAATTTCGCTTTAAAAATAACTTTTTTCAAGATCTTCTTAAATTTAATGATAAATATATAACTTTTACAGCAAAAATATATGTATTTTTATGCGAAGGAAAAGATTTTCTAAGATAATAGAGTTGGTTTTTCAGATGGATTTTATGTAAAATACAAAAAATCATTTTTTAATAAAAAAAAGTATTTTTATTTTATAAAAGTTTTAAAATAAGAAACCTTTTCATAAATGTTATTTTTTTAAATGCAACTTGGTGGAAATAATAACTTTTAATAAGGTAAGTAATATAGCATTTTCTTTGAATGGTGTCATTCTAGCTAAATTAGAAAATATTAATATATTTAAAATACTGTAGAAGCTTAAGAAAAACGATGAAAATAATAGTGTAAAGTATGTGTTTATTAATTTAAAATTACTATATGGGTTGTGATCTAAGAAAATCAAGTTCTGAGAATTTTTTATCAAAATTGAGATTTTAATTGCATTTTAATTTTTATTACATTTAGACCAAAATGTAATAAGACATTAATTTTAGTCAAAAATTTCTCAGAACCTGATTTTCTTAGATCACAACCCATATTACAAGAAATAATAAATTAAAACTCTTAATTATTTTGAATTATGAAATATAGAGAGGAAAAAATAATTATTTTAAAAAATGACTAATATAGATAATGGCGAAAATTAAAGTATATTTTGATTTTTTACTTTTTTTTGGTCCATCACTCCCAAACCTGTAGCAATAATTTTAAAACATTTTCTATTTCTCTTCTATAGGTGAATTTGGTATTAACAATGGTATCAATAGATCTTTTTCTTCTTGAGTAGTCAGATGACGCATTATTTTTTGTTTTTTTTTGATAGATATCTTCAATATATATAACATTTGAATCTAAAACATTCTGAAATACTAGAACAAAGGAAGATGATTGCTAAGGTAATATTAAATTATTATTATCCTATTGATTATATATTAGTGGGTATTTTTCTTGTATTTTATTAACTATTATTTTTTAATTTTTTCAATAATTCTTTAGCTTTTTTTATTTTTTTTATATCTTTAACTTTACTAACAATCACACCTTTAGGTTTTCTTTCTTTAGTATTAATTGGTTCTATTTGTAATATTTCTTGTTTATAAATTACTTTTAATCTTTCTAATCCTATATTATAACAATTATATAATTTTTGACATCCTTTTTAATTTAATTGACTATTATTTTTAGAAAGTAAATAGTTTAATGGAGCAATTGAATCAAAAGCTTCTATTAAAGTTTTGTTAAATTCTAACGAACTTCATGATGATTTTTAATTGAATGTTTACCATGTATCATTATATTATCATCAATAAATTCATTAAAAAGTAATTTCATTCTTTCTTATTCTATTTATGCAGATTTAATTTGATTATTTAAGTTTTCTTATTAATAATATTATTTGAAATATTTTGTTTTATAAATTTTACTCCATATGTTTCAAGTGCTTTATCAAATGCAAAATAATATCCTTTTTTTTATTAAACTAATAAATCTAACATAATATAATAATTTTTTATATCATAGATATTTTGCAATAAAAGCTAAAAAATGTAATATTAATTTATAATTTAGTTTTTCTACAACTAAAAATAATGGAGTAAATGCTGCAAGATATTTAAGTTGTATATTCGTATTTTCTGTTCTAATATCTACTTGATGACTTTCTACTAATACACTATTTATAAAAATAATATCATATTTTAAGTAAACCATTATCTTCTTCTTCTATTTGTAAAATATTAATTTGTATTTTTGTAATATAAATATGAATTATACAAGCTACTGCTAATCATATTAAATCTAATAATCAATATGTAAAATGATAATCTACTACTAATTCTAATTTATCTAAATATTTTACACCTAGTATAGCAGCAAGATTATAAATTCCATAATTGAAAAAACTGTTAAAAGTACATAACATATATCTTTTGAAGTATACCATTATTCTAAAATAGGTCTAATCCTTATATTTTTTTGATAAAGTTTAAGAATTCTATGAAAATTGCTTTATTACAACAAGGTTTTATAGATTGATTTTCAATTAATTCTAAATTTTAATATAAATTTTACAAAAAACAAATATTTCTTCATCATTATTAGGATTTTCTCCTACATCAAATATTGAAATTAGTAATGATGAATAATATATACTAATATTAATTTACTCAAATATTTTAGTATTAATTAAATTATTAAATTATCTTCATTTTATTTACAATTAAAAAATTGATTCAATTAATAATTGAAAACTAATAAAAGTTTCTTCAGCAAGTTGATTTAAATCAAATAAATAAATTTGATTATTAAATTGAATTATATCATAATTAATTGTTTTAATATTTTTAGTAATTAAAATTGAAATATTATTCTTAAAATAGCATGTGTATTTGTTATTGTTGTATCATATATATTGTCATAAGTAAATGATTTTTTTAAATCTATATTATCATAACACGAAGATTTCAAATATTATTAGTAATCAAATTTTTATCTTTTTGAGCTAAAGAAAGAATTATAGAAGATAAAAATATACTAGTTTTTTTAATTTTTACTTTGATTAAGTGGTTTTGCTAATTTATTTTTTTCTATTTATTTTTTATCAGCTTTTTTTTAATAAATTACTTATTAATCCTTCAAATAGAAAATATAAAGATTTAGGAAATGCAGATTGATATTTATTTAAAGTATTAGATAATTCTAATATTTACTTTTTATTATTAAATTCTAAATAAAATTTTTTTAATATTTTTAGCTAAATTAGATCCTATTTGTAAATATTCTTCAAGTATAATTATTTTAGAATTATTTAATTTAACATTATATAATCTAAACGTTATTTTTATAATAAATAAACTTAGAATTAATTATTGATATAAAAGTATTTGTAATAGAATAATAACTTTATCTATTTGATCATAAATAGATTTAAAAGCTTGAAAGGATGGCTTAATAGAATTTATATTTTATTTTGTAATTGTATATTATTTTCTTGAGCAATTAATTTAATCCAATTACTTATAAGTATTAATAAAGAAACATTATCTTGATCATGTTTTCTTTCAATATGATAACTAATACTTTTTTACCACATCCAGATTTTTTATATAAATACCCTTTTTCTTTTTCATAACAATTATAACAAATATATCATGTCCTATTATATAATAATAATTGAATTATAATAAAATCAAATTCTTTTATTACATTACAAGTTTTTATACAAGAAATTTGTATATATTTTTCTATTAATTTTCAAGAATGATTCACACAAAATTTACCACAACTAAAAAAATAATTATTATTTTCACAATATAAATAACATCTAAAATATATTATACATTCTGAAATATCTTTTGATTATTTAATTTTTTTTGAATGTAATTGATTTTAGTCAAATATAAAATAACTACAGTAAACTCTTGATATAACAAATTCTAGGATCTGAATATCAACTTTGTTATAAGCTTATAATGAATTTTTTAAAGAATTTAATTGGTTAGTTCACTTTAGTAAAGGTAATTTTAATATATTTGATTTAAAAATTCGCTATATTAAGGGTTCGCTATATCAAGATTTGACTGTATCCCTTTATTCATTCGAAATAACAAAAAAAAAATATTGTCCTTTATCTTCGGTCGACACATTATACTCAATAAGCAGTTTACTGAAGTGAACAGCATCACATTAGATATTCTAGTTCTTCCTTCTGATTACGGGTATCTTTGAATAATATAAGTGAAAAGGGATAGGAGTAAACTTTAGCTGAAGATGCTATGCATAATGTAGCTTATTCATATACTGTACATATATTGTAGCAAAGTTATCTAAGCAATATTCAATATTTTTTTTTATTAATAAAAAACTTTTCTCTTGCGTAAGGCCTAAAAGCTAAGCATTTACGAAAAAATATTATTATTCATTGCTTGAATATGATGTGGGAGTATAGGGTTATAGGAATATTACTAACTTTTTTTATCTTTAGGTATAATCATCGATCTGAATCTTAACATTTCTTTTTTCAGAAATAGGGTATGGGTATGTTATCATTTTCATGCAAAACGCCTTCAGCAAAATTATTCCAGGCCTATATTTCAATGCAGGTTCTCTTTTTTAATTATAACTAGCATTAATGGGTGATTCTTTACCGTGAAACTGACTGTAAAATGTATAAA